TGCGCTGTAAACTCAATTTCAATCTCAAATTCAAACCCAAAAGGGGCAACATCCCAGGGAGAAGACTCCAAGTTAGCAATCTCCAATCAGCCACAGTAAGAGAAAGATTCCAGGCAAACCTTCAAACTAGGCTCAAAAACCATTCCACAGATTCTGCAGATTCCTCTCCTGAAACAATTTGGCATCATATTAAAAGCAGCATCCTGCAATCCTCTGAAGAATCCTTAGGGTTCTCCCTCAAGAAGAACAAGGACTGGTTTGATGAAAACAATCAAGAAATTCAGGACTTGTTGAGGAAGAAGAGAACTGCCCACCAAGCACACCTTGCACTGCCATCCTGTCATGCAAGAAAAACAGCCTTTCGTCTTGCAAGCAGCAAGCTCCAACAGAAACTCCGTGACATCCGGAACAAGTGGTGGACCGATCTAGCTGCAAAAACTCAACTATGTGCAGATACAGGGGATCACAAAGGATTCTATGAGGCCCTGAAAACAGCGTATGGGCCTACATACCAAGTCCAAAGCCCACTACTCAGTGCAGATGGTCAAACACTTCTGACAGATAAAGGCTCCATTCTGAATCGATGGTCTGAACATTTTCAGACTCTTTTCAGTACCAACCGTGTAGTCCAAGACTCAGCAATTCAGTCCATCACAAAACAACCGGTGAAATACGAATTGGATACTGCCCCCACTTTAGGAGAAACCCTCAAGGGCATACAGCAGGTGAAAATTGGCAAGGCAGCTGGGGTTGATGGAATTCCACCCTAAGTCTGGAAACATGGGGGCCTTGCACTCCATGCTAAATTTCATGACTTTGTGGTGCGCTGTTGGGAACTAGGCGAACTACCTTCAGACCTTCATGATGCAGTCATCATCACTTTGTATAAGAAGAAAGGTACTGAATCAGACTGTTCAAATTACCATGGTATTACTCTGCTCTCCATTGCTGGCAAAATCCTGGCAAGAATACTCTTGAACAGACTAATACCCGCTATAGCAGAAGGAATTCTACCTGAAAGTCAGTGTGGTTTCAGAGGCAACAGGAGTACCACAGACATGATATTTGTTCTCAGACAACTGCAAGAGAAGTGTAGGGAACAGAACAAAGGTCTCTATGTAACCTTTGTTGACCTCACCAAGGCTTTCGATACTGTGAGCAGAAAAGGTCTATGGCAGATTTTGGAACGTTTAGGTTGTCCCCCCAAGTTCCTTAAATGATCATCTCTCTTTATGAGGATCAGCACGGCCAAGTCAGATATGGCAACACACTTTCTGAGCCCTTTCTAATAAAGAATGGTGTGGAACAGGGCTGCGTTCTCGCTCCTACCCTATTCACAGTCTTTTTCAGTATGATGCTTCAAAGGGCCACGGCAGACCTCGATGATCAGGACGGTATCTACATCCGATACTGTACTGATGGAAGCCTACTCAACCTAAGGCGACTGAAGGCCCACACCAAGACCTTAAACCATCTTGTCCGGGAGCTGCTTTATGCTGATGATGCCGCCCTTGTTGCCCACACAGAAGCAGCCCTGCAGCGTTTAACATCCTGCTTTGCAGATGCTGCTGAGCTCTTTGGGCTGGAAGTCAGCTTAAAGAAGACAGAAGTTCTCCATCAACCTGCACCTCAGGAAGTCCTCCATCATCCCCACATCACCATTGGCCAGTCAGAACTTAAATCAGTCCAGCAGTTTAATTACCTAGGCAACCTCATCTCCTCGGATGGTAAGATTGACGGGGAGATAGACAACAGGTTAGCGAAGGCATATAGTGCTTTTGGAAAACTCCATAAAAGAGTATGGCATAATAAACACTTGAAGAAAAGTACCAAGATCAGTGTTTACAGAGCCATAGTGCTGTCTGCTCTCTTATATGGTTCCGAATCATGGGTCATCTACCGCCACCACCTGCATCTCCTAGAACTCTTCCATCAACGCTGCCTCCGCACAATCCTAAACATCCACTGGTCAGATTATGTGACCAATACATCTGTTCTAGAACAAGCAGCAATCACAAGTATTGAGGCCATGCTACTGAGAACGCAGCTGCACTGGGCAGGGCACGTCTCCAGGATGAAGGACCACCGCCTCCCTAAGATCCTGCTTTATGGTGAACTTGCCACTGGCTGCCGCAAGAGAGGAGCCCCGAAGAAAAGATACAAGGACTCCCTGAAGCAACAACTCAGCCTCGGGCATATTGATCACCATAACTGGTCTACTCTGGCCTCCAATTGGGAGGCCTGGAGACACACCATCTATAACGCTGCTGATGCTTTTGAGAAAGCACGCAGGATCACCCTTGAGGAGAAAAGACAATGCAGAAAGAATCGAGCCTTGCAGAATATACCACTTACGGAGTCTTTCTGCTGTGCCTTTTGCAACTGGACTTGCCTTTCTTGTATTGGCCTTTTTAGCCACCAATGCGCTTGCAAGAAACGTGGGTAGAGCCCTTCCCAAATCTTCGTTCGCGAAGCCTAGCCATGATGATGACACTCCCTTCTGGTTTTCTTAGTCTCTTACCAAGTATCTTTGGCTGTTCCCAGGAAATACCTGCATCAAAGTCCTTTTCAGTCCTTCAGCCTTTCATATGCTTTTTCAGGACAGTTAATTCAGCCCTGATAGTGTCCTTGTGTGGCAGTTTGGGCCACATTAGAAATCCAAAATCCAATTTCCAGGCTTCTCCCCACCCCTTCCCACAATTTATCCCAATGCCAGAGAGAAACTTTCAGGCCAGAGGCTTCTATAGGGGAAGTATATACATTTATTTACACAAATAAATATACTGTACAAGCGAAAGGCAGCTATATATATATGTATATATATAGTATTACATTTCTGTCAGTCCTTTAAGCTCCTCCCTTTAACTTTAGTCCAGGAGAAGCCTTTCAAGGCTGCTGGGTAACATAGTCTCTCTCTCATGGAAGTGTTCTGGGCCTCTGAACACTCCCTAACCAACCTTCAGCTGTTTGTTGCAGTTTTTTTCTCCTCATGAAGTCCAAGAAGATAACTTTGAGTCTGTCCTCTCATACCTCGGTTCGTGGCTGCTGTAGTGTAGTCCGGCATATCAAGCGTCTGCGTCCTGGAATGTTGATTCCTCCTCCGGGTTTTCGGCTGTCCTGCATTTAGATCACGGCAAAGACATCCTCTGGGCCTGTCTTCGGTCCGTCTCCAATTTCGCCTGGGATTCCTTTCCCTGGCTCCGAGCTGTCTCGTTATCAGCCCATCCACTTGGCTCTTCTTAAATGCTGAGCCTTGCATCCACTCCCACTAAACAGCGAGAGGGCAAAACAGCCCCCTTCTGCAGCCTGGCTGCAAAGGGGGGGGAGAAGAGGGCCTAGCCGCAAGGCCTGCCTCTCTCTGTCTCTCTCTCTCTCTCTCTCTCTGTCTCTCTCTCTCTCTCTCTCTCTCTCTGTCTCTGTCTCTCTCTCTCTTTTTCTCTCTCCCACTTACCAGTTGTTTGTGAGTCACATCCCTCACAAACACTCACTTCAATGCTGCCTCCAACTCTGGCCTAGGCAGAGTTGGTGGGGCCGCAGGGCTCCCCTCTTCCCCCCCCAGAGGGGGGAAGAAGGAGCCCAGCCACCCCCTGGCCTTCTCCACCTACACGCAGCAGACACCAACAGCAGAACTGCCAACAGCTTCCGGCAGCTGTGTATATATGATTTTTCAGCAGAAGCGAACAACATGAGTGGTGATTGGCTTTTCAGGAAACACTGTCCTGGCACCCAATCACCTCTGAGCCCCCGAACTCTCAGGGGGGGCCAGTTTCAAACTATAACACCTTGTAAAGAAAAGCCTGAGACATATAATACTCTGATTCACTAAAGATATAGTCCAGCTGAGCTTATGATCACTGTTACCATTGCTGGTTTGAAATAGGTTTCTCAGTGTTATATATCTCTGCTCTCCACATAAGGCTCTTACTAAGCATTCTTGCCCAGTAGCATTTTGCCTGCTTTCAGGTAAGGTTATCTGGCAACACAGAGTCCATTTTAAGAAAAAGAGAAATGCAAGATAATCTCAGTGTAAGTTATGTACAGGCTGGATCAGTGGGACAAGGCCAATGGTATGAGGTTCAGCAAGGCCAAGTGCCAAGTTGAGACGTGGGGTCACAACAACCTCAGGCAGCACAACCTCAGGTTGGGGCAGAGTGGCTGGAAAGCTGCCCTGTGGAAAAGGACCTGGGGATGCTGGTCAACAGCAGCTGAGCATGAGCCAGCAGTGTGCCCAGGTGGCCAAGAAGGCCAATGCATCCTGGCTTGGATCAACAATAGTGTGGCCAGCAGGACCAGGGCAGTGACAGTCCCTCTGTACTGGGCACTGGTGAGGCCACACCTCAAATCCTGTGTCCAGTTCTGAGCCAGTCACTACAAGAAAGACATTGAGGTGCTGGAACATGTCCAAAGAAGGGCAACAGAGCTGGGGAAGAGTCTGGAGCACAAGTCCTACTAGGAGTGCCTGAGGGAACTGAGGGTGTTTATCTGAAGAAAAGGAGGCTCAGGGGGCACCTGAAAAGGAGGGTCAGGGGGAATCTTATTGCTCTCTACAACTTCCTGAAAGGAGGTTGTAGTCAGGTGAGGATCGGCTTCTTTGCCTAAGTAACAGGCTATAGGATGAGAGGAAATGCACTCAGGTTGTGCTAGGACACATTTAGCTGGAATATTAGGAAATCTTTCTTCATGTGAAGGGTGGTCTAACATTGAACCAGGTCAGGGAAGTGATTGAATCACCAACCTGGAGATTTTAAAAGATGTGTAGATCTGGCACTTGGGAACATGGTTTAGTAGTGGACTTGTCAGTGCTGGGTTAATGGTTGGACTTGATCTTAAAGGTCTTTTCCAACCTAAACAATTCTATAGTTCCATATATGCTGTGCATGGACTACGGTACAAAGGCCTCTTTGAACAATGTTCTCAAGATATTTTTTTTCTGTCCTTAACAGTCCTCTGGTTAAAGTAATTTTCCTCTTACACCTGTGACTTTCCTTTACCCAAAATAGGCTGATGAAGGTGTGATCATGTACGAACACTTACATGCTGAGTTAGCTGGCTGGAGTGCAGAAGATTTCTTTACATTTACTGTCTGCTCTCCACCATCAGCTCTGGATCTCCAGGTGTTCCATATTGTCATTTCATATGAAATTACCAGAGATGATGGGAATAGTCGTCTTCTAGCAAATACAGGTAAAAATGCTGTACTGTTTGGGCTCCAAATTGTTTTGAGTCTGTCAGGGTTCCATTGAAGAACTGAGGAAAAACAAAGGCTCCTTTCTTTTCAGTAAGCAATGAACAGAATACTGTTGACACAGAGTGTAATGTAGATAGTAGCTTGGGAAGCCACATCACTACATCTTTAGAAATGAGATTAACTACCTATGTTTGATGATTCGTACTGCTGTAGAGAATATTCTTTTTTTTCTATAATGGTAGGTGAAAACACTCAGAAGTTTTGACACTTTGATATTTCTTTAATTTTAGTATATGCATCAGTAGAAAATCTTGTTTCTTATATGTGACTATTTTAAAAGTAGTGGTAATACATTTTTAGTTATGACATATAGAAATCAAGAATACTATGAAGGAGAAAATTTTCTGAGCATCATCAGTGTTTGATATCTAATTTCTGAAGTATTGCAACTATAAAATTGCCAATTACTAAGATTCTCTTTTCCTTTCTGCCAGGTGCCACAGTCCAGGAAGGAGGCAGAGTATTGATCAATAAAACAAATTTAGATGCTTCAAATCTATTGATTAAACTACCTGACATACAGCGCTCCATGTATGAAGTCTGGTATCAGTTTGTTTCTTTACCCCAGCATGGCATGATTGTTGTTGGAGAAAAAAACATTCCAAAAGAAAAACCTAATTTCTCCCAATACATACTGAACAAATTTGGAATTGTGTATGTACATGATAATTCTGAATCGCTTAATGACAGTTTCGCTTTTGCTGTTTGGTTAAACCTAAAGCCCCATAGTGAAGTTTTAGAGGAGATGTTTAATATCACTGTTTTTCCAATGAATGACCGATCTCCAGAACTCAAGACTAAAAGGCTGCACTTGAAAGTCCTGCAAGGAGATGTGTCAATGCTGGGGTCAGAGAACCTGAAAGTTGAAGACCTAGATAATTCCCCAGCTGAGCTCAAATACACCATTGTTAGCAACCCCAATAATGGTTATTTAGCAATGAAAAGCAATCTCAGTGTCTCTATAAAAGATTTCACACAAGCTGATGTTGACAGTGGTAACATTTGGTTTGTACAGGATGGAAGTTCATCTTCTGGGGTGTTTTGTTTCAGTGTGACTGACGGTAAACATCGCCCTTTATACAAACTGTTCAGTCTTGAAGTCATACCAATTGTTCTTGTCCTAGTCAACCTTACCAGTGTTGTACTTCCACAGAGCCAGACATCTGTCACTATTACTAGTGTTCAGCTTTCAGCTGTCACAAATGGAAAAAGCAGTAACATTATGTATGAAATAACTCAGCCACTCAAATATGGGCACCTGATGATTGGAAATAAGCAGATTACTAAATTTGAGCAGGCAGATTTGTACTCAGGAAGGCTCTCCTACCACCTGTCAAATCTCACTGCATCCAAAGAAGTACTGAAGTTCATGCTTTTCACTGCAGAAGGCAATCTAACAGGACAAGTGCTGAACATCACAGAGAAGCCTTTAGTACAAGTTGTAGCTGACCTGCAGATTTCAAATGGAGTGGCTTATAAATTTGGAAGCAGTGACCTGGATGCATCTGAGCTAGCTAATTTGACACATAGTAATCCTAGATTTGAAGTGATAGTGCCCCCCTCACATGAAAAGATTGTAAAGAAAAGGTTTGTGAGTGATGCAGTGTTTGAAGACCTTCAGACATTCACCCAGGCTGACATTGATGGTGGTGTTTTGCTTCTAGACATAGATACAAATATGACGGGCATTGATCTGTTAAATGACTCATTTACATTTATACTCAGGGCAGATGCTGTGCAGCCTGCTGTTGGCTGTTTTCAGTATTCCATTGTGCCACACAGTCCTCCACTTGTGCAGGGTTTTACGACAGAAGTGCTTTTTGTAACCGGCATGACCACTTCAAAGGTTCACACTACCTCAAAGTATGAGGCACCAGCTTCCTCACAGGAGGAAGAGCCTGCAGTAGCACCACAGAAGCCTGAATCAACTAAGTGGCCAGGGCAGAATCACTGGGGATATCTACATGAGAAAGGCCCCTTGCTAAATCTGGCAATGGGAACAAGTGTATCTGAGGAAATAAAGACTACAAGCCAGGTTAATGCCAAGAGTCCCAGAGAGCAAGTGGGTGAAAGCAGCAATGCTTGGTACATCATTATCCGTCTGGTCCTGGTGTCTGTGCTACTTATTGTTGCTGTTACTTTTGTGTGCATTTTGTTAATGTGCCAGAAGAAAGAGAAGACAAAATCACTTGTCAAAAGTCAAACAGATGCAATCCTCAATAGTCCAGATCGGTGTCTGGAATGGAGCTTGACTGTACCCACTGTTACAGTGACTCCTCTTCTGAAGGGCGCTGAGAGAAGTACAGCCTCAACATTCATGGCAGTAAGACATGAGCAGCTGCTTCCTGCAGTGGTTTCTCCAACTATAGAAAGGCCTCTGCAAAACAGCATTTTAAATCTTGATCCTGAAGTCATCCAGTATTGTCGGAAAACAAACACAACTTTGAAGCGCAATCAGTACTGGGTGTAGTTACTCCAGTTTTGGTCATGCTAATTGATGTAGTATGGAACAGAGAATATACATTGTTGACATATAATTTGTTCTTTATACGCTCATTTATTGTAGGTCAAATGATGCACTAGATGAAATCTAAATACCTGTGAAATAATAATAATAATAATAAAAATCTTAGTGTTTACAGTGGCCATAAAAGAAGATTTCCAGCTAGTACATCAGCAAAGTTCTCACTTAATTCAGTGCAGAATTTGGCCTCATGTATTTTGAGTGCATTCTATGTATGCACTATTTTTTATTTTCCATGACAGGTAAAATAGAATGTTCTGTCATGGATTATATATTTTTAATAGAATTACTTTTTTTTGAAGAATTAATTTTTTTATAAACATCTTGTATTCCTTCCTGAACCATGACTTGTATTTGAAGAACTTTAAACTGTTCCAATAGGTAATTACCGTGGCGCTAATCTCAATAATATAATTTTGACCTGAAGGCTGTTCAGAGGCCAATACTGAAGAAACAAAGCTGTGATTATTTTGACAAGTGTTCATCCGGGTCAATGAACTGGAAATCTGGAATTCAACTCAGCAGCAATAGTCAGTACTGAATAAGGATTCTGGTAAAATGCTGTGAGATGTTGTTTGTTCTTTTGATTTCTTTTTCCTTATTTGATACTGAGCTCTAGCCTTTAGTGTCTGCAGGCTGGCAAAATACATCTGTGACCTGTAATCCACATGCCAAAAACTGTGTATCTGCCAGCCAGCCTGTCTGCTGAATTATCTTTAGGCTTAGGTTATGTCTGGATGTGCATATCAAAATTTCCTACTCCTGACAAAGGGGTTAATTCTGCTTTCAGTGAAGCAAATGTAACTTTCTCTGGAGTCTGTGTATTCAAGCAGATGACAGTAGAATTAAGTCCTGTGCTGCATATTGTCATGTGTCATGGAGCTACTGATAGAAACAATCCTGTGAGGTAGCATGTACCCTATTTTGAAGTTTCACAATTTACCCTTCATCTCCCAGAACACTGAACACATATGCCTTACATGCTATGAACAGAGTATTACCTACTTACTAACTTTGCTCTGGTGATAAAATGTGCAATAGATTCTGTTCAAAGGGAATATTCTAGCATTTTTGGAAATCCAAGCTCAACAATGATGTGCAGCCTCCAGTTAAGGTCCAGTTTTTCTTCCGCAGAGGACAAATGACAAAATTCCTGTTGACTTCAAAGAATGAACTGAATAAACTCAAGGGAATGGTGGTGTGATCATAACCAGTTTCTTACTACCACTCAACTTCTCATCTATTTTCTACCTCTATATTGTTACAGCTTCCAGATAGCTGCTTTGTAAAAACACTGTTCTCAGCACTCTTAGCACTGCACTCACTCAATTAACACTGGAATACCTTTTTTATTTAGGCCTAGGTACTGTCATTTTCACTTTTATACAATGGATTTATGGATCTCAAGAGCCTTGGTGCTATTCATTTCATACTGCTTTGTTTTGGATGATTTTTTATTATTGAAGATTAGGTATTCTGTAATTTATATATTTCAATTATGAGAAATTTTTACCTACAAGGAGGGCCAGACTTAAACTCCATACTGCTGTGTTCTGGGAACTAAACACAGGAGCACTGGGGATAGTCCCTCTCATTTTTACCACCTCTACCATGGTCAGCCATGATTGTGGTGCATTTTTAAGCAATACATTTTTCAGAGGCCACTTCAAGAGGAGTAGCTCATGTCACCAGAAAATATGCAAGCCATCTCTTCAGCTGGTCATGTTGTTAGGGCACCAGAGACTAAAGATATGGACACTTTATATGCTCAAACTAAAATGTATTTGAACATCAATATTTTTTGTCTGTCATTACCATATTTTCCCTGATGGCAGCATGTGAATTCAAGTAACTGATCAGTGTAAAAGGCTCGGGATGCTCACATGTCTCTTATGGACCACTGTAGATCTGCATTGTGGACTTTTCTGCTTTTCCAAGAAAATCTCTGGCACTGTTTTGAGGTGGTGTTGCCAGCCATCACAGAGGCAACCTAGCATCCTTTGTGGAGGTACAGCTGTATGTCTTTTGCCATTTCCTGAGACCTCTTCTACTAATACCAAGCAGACAGCAGTTTCCTCCAGATCCCAGCTGTCAGCTGCAGCCTGCCTCCAGTGCCTTCTGGACAGTGGCAGCAACCTGATCCCTTTACACCTTCTCCAAGGCCACACTCCAAGGAGGAGTGAAGAATTGTAATCCCGACACTTTCCTGACACCTAACGAAGCCTGCCTCACATTGCTCTACCACTGAGACTGTCCTGTTAACAGCAAGAGATCTCATGCTCCAGTTCTGACCAGGAGATCAAGCGATGTGCCTACAGTTTGGTACAGTCTGGACAATGCTGAAAGCTCCTGGAGTCTGGTGACAAAATGCACACTGCTGACTTGTGACAGGCTGAACAAAAATATGGAAGTGAAATGCGTGCTTCATGAGATTTTAATAAAGATATTGATGTAAGGACGGGCATGCCCAAATCTGTGGTGCTCAGAATGTGTAGTAGAGATGGAGCATAGGGCTGCTGCATTGCTGGCAATGTGAAAATGAGACCAGGACATAATAGTGACAAAGTCAAAGAACCTGCAATGCAATTCAAACTCCACAACTGGGCATTCCTGAGTTTGAGCATTTGCATGCTCTGAGCAAGGAATCCTACATGAAAACCTCAGAAAAGGTGATAGAATTTGTGCAGGCTCTTTTGGCTTTAGCATAAGGGGCTGAAGTCGTACTCTCTGTTTCCAAAATGGTTTTAGCTGACAATAGATGTTCATTTCAAGTAGATCAGGCATTATGGGTTTGAATCTTGAGCATTTGGCTCAATTTTTAAAGCATTGAGGGTTTTTTCCAATTTTTTTTGTTTGTTTGTTTTTAATTGTTAAAATCAGCCTAAACACCTAATTCGTCAGAGAAGTGTGCCAGCATTCAGTTTTCTCCCTCAGCTGTTGCTACTGTGAGGCAGCTGTGCCAAAATGGCTACCATATTATGCAATGTTTTAATGAAAACTGTGTATGGATGTGAGCTTATTGTGTCAGTGATTACTTGGTTTAATGCAAAATGCAGAGGTAATATTGTAGCTGATGCCTACATATGAATTTTGCTTTAATATCCCACCCTGAATCCCTACTTAAAAAAGTAAAAAATCTGATTACAATACTGTAAACTTTCCCTGTGGATGGTACAGAGTAATCTTTGGCAGAGGACAGTCTATGTTGTTCACACACAGATGTTTTATATAGATGAGAGAAGTCAGTCCTGGCTTAGCTAGAAGTCCAGCTTTGAGATGGTACAATCTAGCTACGATGAATCACATACTGGGTTTCCTAAATTACTGTCAATCTAGAAAACTCACACCCCCCCATTTTGTGCTTATGGATTCTTTTGTGATTCTAGGAACGTACATACTTAACGGTCAGGATCTGGTTTGAATATTTTGGTTGTTTCACTTGACCTTGAAGTTGTATGTTTTATTTAGTGAAGATGAGGTTTGTGAAGGATTCTGTTTTTTACCAAATGGAGTTCTAAACTGCAACATGGAAGGGCCTTGAAAACATAAATCAATAAACTGTTTTGTTTATAATCTACACAGTTAAGTTTTTGTGCTTTCTTTAAAGACCTGTGAAATGCTGTGTCACAACAGGGAAGAGACACAACAGGATCCCTGTGCCGGTAACAGAATTCCTCTGAGTTTTATGATGTTTATTTTTTAAATTGCACATATGCTGGGATGGCTGTTTTGCTGTGCCCAGTGCAACACACTGTGTATGGCTAGAAAAGGAGAGACCTCTCATTGTGCATCTAACCTGGCCATGTCCAGCGCTTGAATGAAAGTAACATGAGAATAAATGTATTGATTTGAACTTGCTCAAACAGGACTGCACTAGGTTAATTTCAGAAAGATTTTCTGTTATTTAACTACACATGATTAGAAGATTTTAAAATATCACATTCTTAACTGTTAATACATCAGTGATGTTTTGTCTTTGATTTTTCACTTGATCAAAAGTATGCACTCACTCCAGCCTCACAACAAATGCATTGTGAAACGGAGCTAGGGCCTAAAAGAGTTACCTCTGAATACTGATCTGGGGATTCTCCTGCTCAGAAGAATGTATTGCTTAGCTAGAATGTAGTGCTTAACTAGAGACAGAAACCAGAGCTTAGGGATTAAATGGTACCGTACACCAAAAGAATGCTCACACACCTAAATAAATGGAGATAGAGTAAGAACACGAATAGATAAGGGATGAAATAGGGACTTGAGTCCAAAGTCTTGCAAAATTCACCATGAAGTCAACGAAAATCAAGGAAGTTGAAGAGTTCAGCCAAGGAAGAAGAGTGAAAATACGACCCCATGAGACTGAAGAAACAGGAATGACCACCAAACATTACCCCAAAAAGACGACTCCACCCCAGACTCTGCCCAGACTCCACCTATTATGAATATTAAAACTAGATGTTGCAATTATATGAATATGTATGTAAAAATGTTGTAATCTCTCATAGAAATTGTATATAATCATATCTTTTCACTGAGAAGGCAGAGCAGTTTGTCCAGGGCGAGCTGGCTGCTCTCCAGCATTGCCTAAATAAATACCTTGCTTTTTAAAGGCTAAGTTCTGTCTCTAAACAATTCCACTGCGCCTTTTTGGGCATCAATTGTTCAACCTGATTTTTTTTTCTTAATCAGAACTCAGGTGCTTTGTAGTTGTTCCTGTAACTTGAGGTAAGGAACTTTCTCTTGATACATCAGAAATGTTTGTGGCCTGTGGGAGCAGCTTCCCCTGCACTGTGACTCAGCATCCTGAGCACAGAAACCTGTGTCAGCAGTAGCGAGTTGAGTTCCCCTCCTACAGCTCAGAAAATCTTGGTTTGGGAAGAAGAAAAAATAGGAGAGAAATGGTCATAAACCTTTTATGTTTTTCCTTTTATTAAAATATTAGTAAGGGCCAGCTACAACTTTCTCTGCAGTATCCTATTACTCCCTACTACAAGGCCAAATCCAGAGTGAATGTACTTACATGTCCTGAGCTACAGGCTTCCATCCTGCCTGCACTGTTTTTTTCAATCAGTCCTTGTGATGTTATGTTGAAGTACATTCTGTGAATATTTTTAAATGGGCTGAAAATAATTGTCCTGGCATATTCAATGGAAACTGTATTAATTTATCTTCACTCGTTTCAAGCTAAATAAGTCCTGCTAGAGCTTGCATATGTAATCCCAGAACAAAATGTTCTTTCATTGCAACTGGGGAAATCTGTATTTTCACATCTGTTTGTAGGGAGATTCTGTGTGGTGAAGTGCTAGCTTTATGTGATTGTTTCCTTGTTTCTAGTCTTGCTGCTTGGTTATATTTGTGGGAATGCTTTATACATGCTGGTAGGCACTGCCAGACATGGAGTTATTTATAGACTGAGATTTCAGCTGCAAAACATTTGCATAACATCACAGTGAGAGGGGCATTAGTTTGCATAAATTTGTTGAGTAAAAATGTAGGATGAGCAGACTGAGCATTGATGTGGGATGTTACCAGGTGTCAGAACTTCTTGGAAGAACACAAGCAATAGATCGGAATAACTTCATGCAATGTATAGCATGTGAATGATCACAGAGATTTGCTCCAGCTCATACACTGTACAACTTCATCTTGCACAGGTCCTTTTATATATGTTGCATGGAAGCACATTGATGAGGAAATTCTTGAGAGAATAAAAAATCAGAGTAATCAAGTTTGTATTTCGTATACAAGTACATATTCAAGCCCATATAAATGAAAGGCAGAAGCACATAGGAGGTTGGTTTGAGACATGCAAAGCCACCAGGGAAGCCGCTTTGCTTAGCAGTGGGTGCTGAGGAAGAGGTTGTTTAGAGAGGCAGGGGGAGGTAGTAGGATTACAGAGACAAGATTTCTTGCATTAGATGGAGTTTCTAAAAGCAGGGGAAGGTCATTTGGAAGCAGACCTATGGGCTTGTTTGAAAGGCAGAGGTGATGTGCTGGGTTCAACCTCAGACAAGCAGACTATGAGCCACTACTACTTGTAGAGCTCACCTCACCACGAGAGAATGGGAAGAGAAAGTATCAAGAGGAGTTTTGTTCCCACTAAAGGGGACAGTTGTATTGAGAGAGGGGTATGAAGACTTAGAAGTTCAGGTTGCCTTTTCTTCTTCTTCCCTCTGCAGCTAGCAAGAAGTCTAGTAGAAATAAATCTCCTATGGCATGAACATTTTGAATGTTGACTTAGGAAGGTGGCTGCCTTTCATGAAGTCCAATTGTGGGTTCATCAGATCAGATTACCAAAATTCTTATAAAACCATCTCCCAGTCTGCCTGAGCTAAGTTACCTAGGGTGTAACTCAGATGTTAAAGTCTGTTGGCATGAATATTACCTTAAAAACAGAGCTGCAAGGTTCAAAGTACAGAAGGGAACACGGTGAACTTTCTTGGGCTTTTGACTGATTGTAATTGTAATTAATGATTAATGGTAAATCTAGTTATCTGCAAACACTGAAAGGTATTTATAGGTAAGGCAACAGGGGTCTTGATTTTGAGCACTGAGCTAACTAATGCAGACAAAGATGGACCTGAGCTTAGTCCTGGAAAGAAAGGAAAGTAGCTTTAGAAGTGATCTTGCTTACACATGGCTGAACAAAATACTTTTGAAGAGCAGCACTAGGATAAAATTAGACCAAGGAGTAGAAGTAAGCAGAAGTATGATGAATTGACTAGAACAATCAAGTGGTTACTTTATAGAATCCCTTAGCCAATCTGTATTGACCATCTCAGGTTCTATACGCTTCTAGGAATGCTGTAGTATAATCATCAGTGAGACAAGTTGCCCATTTTTCTTCCTTGAATCACCTTGCTCCTGATTGCAGGACTTATGTTCATTTAGTAGTTTCTGGGATTTGGAGACATCTCCTTGCTTCTGAGCATGGGATCTGCTCTCAGAAGTGCAGTACTTCTCTGTTTCCATTCAAGAGCCAGTAGGTAGGTCACAGCTGGTCATCACAGATCTCTGTTGTAGCCCACTCTAATCTGAACCCACAAGTTACACTTAAAGACACATTTAATCCCATTGCCATTTCACTGGTTCCCTAGAAAGTCTGGAAGTTTCTAAAATAGTGAGTTCATGGTGCCCCTCAGTGACACCACAGCTCAGGAAGAAGCAGCTTGTTCCCTCAACACCTAGCTCAGCTGCAGCTCGTGCTGTGCTTGGCAGACCTTGGACATTTGGCAGCCTATTTCATGTCATAGTGGGCTGTCCCAAGCTTGCTGCAGAATGAACTTTTATTAAATGCTGCTTTTAGGAGTGTAGGAATAATAATGTAAGGCTGCGGGGTTTAACTTCAAAATTCCTTGGTACTTGCCATCAGGTTTTTCAGGTCAGTGCATTTGAAAACCTTGTTCTGTATGTATCTGAACATGGTACAAATTGCTACACATGTCTAGGCTACAAGTAGGTTAGGGACAACACTGGGACACAGAAAGGCCCCTCATCAAGTGTAACCAAAAATGATATATAATAGGAAGCTAGTATAAAATTTAATCATCTCAAATATTTAATTTCAGTCTCCACAGTGATCTTTTAGGTATGGTAAGGATGGCGTGAGGTGATGACTGTGTACTGGGACAAGATGTCATAACAGGTGTATTGGTATAATGCTGTCAACACTTCATGAGTTTTCTGGATTTCATGGAGTTTCCTAGTGTCTTGTCTGTGCTGATACGCTTTATTATAGTAAAATAACTAACTAAACCCACTGATGATCTGATACTGAGCCCAAAATTTATCAATGATTCTCCTTTCTGTGTTCTCATAAGTGAGGTGGTCATTTCTTTAAAATTAATCAGTAGAAGATGAGGAGCAGCAAGATTAATGAAGTCTAGCTTCCTGTGTTTTATAGGCCCTTGTCCCGCCCTTCAGCTCCTTCCCACCAATCTTACACAGAAAAGCTTCAGTGCTTCCTGTGGCTGATTCAGAGGTCCATCTGTAGGCTCTGCAGAGGGGTCTGGAGAGGCTGGATCAATGGGCTGAGGCCAATGGTATGAGGTTCAAGTTCCAGGTCCCGTCCTTGGGTCACAACAACCTCAGGCAGTGCTACAAGCTGGGGTCAGAGTGGCTGGAAAGCTGCCAAGTAGAAAAAGACCTGGGGATGCCAGTCAACAGAGGCTGAACATGAGCCAGCAGTGTGCCCAGGTGGCCAAGAAGGCCAATGGCAACCTGGCCTGTATTAGCAATAGTGTGGACAGCAGGACCAGGGCAGTGATCGTCCCCCTGTACTGGGCACTGGTGAGGCCACACCTCAAATCCCATGTTCAGTTCTAGGTCCTTCACTTCAAGAAAGACATTGAGGTGCTGGGCAATGGAGATGATGAAGGGTCTAGAGGATAAGTCCTATGCAGAACGACTGAGGGACCTGGGGTTGTTTAGCCTGGAGAAGAGGAGGCTCAAGAGTGACCTTTATTGCTCTCTACAACTACCTAAAAGGAGGTTGTAGCCATGTGGGGGTCGGGCTCGTCTCTCAAAGGTTGGACTCAAGTGATCTTGGAGATCTTTTCCAAACTTAATGATTCTGTGTCTTGA